GAGAGATCCGTTATCGACCGTTATTTTTGTTTGATCTTTCGAAGCACGTGCGGGCGAGTGGCGAGCGGCGTGCGCGAAACGCTCGAGCGCAACCGAAACCTTCGGCGGTGGGGGTCTGCGCGTTAGATGGTTCTTTCAGCTTTCAGTTCGGCGGGATTGCTGCTGTCTATGGATATTGATGTGCAGCAAAGTGGTGCTAGCATACGACAAAAACCGCTGACTGCAGTTTTTTTTTTTTCGTTTTGCGACGGACGACAGGTGAGACCACAAACTTCGTACGCGCGATACTGGCAGAATTGAACTGCGCGCTATTTTTCTTATTTTCCGTTTACTTTTTCAAATAGAGCCAGTAAAGGGATCTGCTATGCAAATTGCCCAGAGTTCAAGTTGCTGCCGTTGAGCAAACTCCGCGAACGTCGTCTTTGCGGCAAACGGCTTGTTTGCTTCTTGCTCGACGTGTGAGTTTTTTTATTGCCTGTGTGCAACTTGGTGCATATATTCGTGACTTAAAATCCTGTAAATACTTCTCTGTATATTGTATATTGTCATTTTAAGGTTGCTCATACATTGTATAGAAAATAATTCGAATGCTGTGCGCTGGAGCTTTAGTATGCTTTTTCGTGTGATGGCTAGTACGGCATTATGGGGTATAAAAGAAATTTATAATTTCTTGTAAATGCTTTATTGAATGTCATAGGTAAGAGCTTAAATAAATGAGATGTGCTATTTGTGAAAACTGCTTGTTTAAGACGTATGTGGTAATAAAGTAAATATGTAAAATATGTAAATACTAATTGAAAGATGGCGAGATGCCAGTAAACGCAATTATTTCTTTATGATGTCACATGTTACATGTTTGTATATCTATGCTCTTGATCTCGCCATAAGGCTGACTTATTCATTCCTTATGTATTCCTGCAAGCTTTCTCTCAATTCTGAAAATAGATACGCATTTTTAGAACGTGAAATGACTTCAAATAAAATGCGTCTTATTCAATCTTCTGGTTTTATGACGTTTCCTTGGCGAGGTTGTGTGCAGTGTACTTGTTGTTAGGCATCGATAAAAAACAGCAAACAGACATATTCGTATCAAGCGACGTCCGTGTTTACAGTGTGAAAAAGCGATGCTTTAACACAGACGCACGAGCGCGCGCCGCACGCCAAATCTCTACACGCTTCACCACCCATCATCGTACACGCACGCGCGATAAACACACGCCGAAGAATGGATAGTTGGGCGAGTTGGTGGAAATTCATCGTAGGAAACCGCGCGAAAAACAGACGAGGACGAAGAAAAAACACACGGGACGAGCGCTCGTCCCGTGTGTTTCTTCTTTGTCCTCCTCTGATTTTCGCGCCGTTTCCTACGGTGAAACACACGCATACATAAAAAAAAAAAGAACGGCCGAAAAAAATAAAAAAAGAAAAGACAGGAGGGAAGGGGAGAGGAAAAGGAGAAGGGTGAGCACGTTGATGATGATGATGATAGCTGTTCGCTTTAGTGGCGCCGTGGCGCCATCTGCAAGTAGTTTACAACCCAGACCTAGTTCGCGAGACTGCCGCAGCGCCTGGCGGCGCTAGTTTCGCCGTGCCATGGTGGAAGCTACGGCTGCATCCGGCCTGGCGCAGTTAAAAAAAAAAAATAAATAAATTACTAAAATAAAAGCCGGATTTGGCGTTAGTGGCGCGAACTTGGGTTGCTTGGGTCCCGGCAGTTCCCGCTGCTGTTCTGCTTGGGGATGTTACAAGTTGCTGTGTTTGTATAAGATAGTTTGCCAGTGCCTTGAGTGCTGCCTCTGCCGATGGTTCCTGTGGCTGATGACGACCTCCGCCTGAGTTCCACTCGCTCGTGGGCGAAATGGCTGCATCCCAGAACGGCGTGTTCGGAATTCGCTCCGTCCTCATTGCAGCGCGGGCAATGGCTGTCTCTTGTCTCCGCGCCAGCGAGCCAGGTAAGCAGGCTCGACCATTTGGATTCATTTTCATAATCAGGTGCATGTGAAACTGAACCTTTTTGCAACCCAATTCGGAACAGCTATGCTAGTAATACAGCCGCCAGTGTATACATTCAGCTTCAGAGATCCTCTATTACAGGGGTTAACCACTGCGGTAGAGGATCCGGTTGTTGTTACTCCCTTCTTGCCTTCCAAGTCTGTCGCCCTCTATGCAACTCGCAATTGCGAGTTGAATAGTGGACGACAAACTGGGCAAGCAGGAAGGGGGTAACAACAGCAGGATCTTTTCATTCCTAGGCGTTGATTTTCGTAAAGGCTGAGCCTCATGTAAGCGATTAAGAGAGCGACGAGCGGCGGAGATTTCCGCAATCGGGTCGCTCGGTTTTTGGATTTCTAGAAATCGTCGCTCATCGCCTTGGTCGCTTGCTCCCGTCGCTTTCATGCGGTTTGCTGCATCGAATGAGTGACCGAACGACAGCGAAGCGGATCATTGTCGCTCGTCAAATCGCTTAGATGAGGTTTATACTTAATTGCCGCGAGACTGGCACCACATGTACGATTGGCACACGCTTTCATATTCTCTCTCATACTGTTTATGATAGTGCATATTTTTGATTCGTGGCATTAGTGACATACCGTTTTACAACAGACGGGTGCGAATAAATCTGCCACGGTTCTAATTACTGATGTTTATTCTTATTTCAGATGCTTGGGGTACTCCGTTAGCCACCACCGGAACCCCGACACTCCAGAAGATGCGGAGAATCTCGCCAACCGCCTGGGACACATGAATAATATCATGACAATTTTTTTGCATTGTACATATGTTTTTATGCTTATTTTCGCGGCCTGCAGTGTGTATTTATTTTTGTGGAAATAAATTCAATTTTATTAATTTACGACGTGTGTTGTCAATATGACGAGTTAAACTGGTTTAACTGCATGGTGAATTTCTATTTTCTAGCCAAGCTTGGCTGACCGCCCGGCCACTAACCTGGCCCATGCTGTATATACAATAAAGAGCCAAGCTTGGGGCACCTCTGAGCTTCCCGCCTGGCCCACGCCATAATTCCAGCGGTGAGCCAGTCTATGGCTACACAGGGAACTGCCGGTGGTCGCCAGACTGGCATACCTGGATGGGTCTGCCACGTGCCATGGTGCAAAACAATCTAGGCCCAGTGAAACTTCCCCGGCTACCCAGTCTGGCTCAAGCTCGAGCCCGTCGTAATGTGCTGCTTGGGTAGGTGTTTATTGGACGCAAGAAATCTTTGATACAAATAACTTTTTTCACTAATGAACGTGGCTTCAAATGAGTAATCAAATAGAATCCATTTTAAATTTCGGCTGGTGACACCTGAACCTGCAGCGATGTCGTCGCAGTCCTACAGACAGTGACAGCATGAGAAACACAGGAAGGGACGAACCTTGTGCATCTAACTGTCACTCATCATCCAATGAGACAGCTGCACCTCTCAAATAAAAATGCCAAGGAACGAATTACAAAGTAAGGACTGTGAAAATGATAATTTTCACTCCGCGTTTCTGAAACTATCGAAGACTATTTGGTCCGCAACTCGGAAGCAATTACATATCCGCCGAGAGCCATCGCTTCAAAGTCGTTCACACAAATAAAACGAGCACTATTGAATTAGGTCTTTCCAAAGGTGCGTGCCCTACAGTGGCTGATTCAAAGCCGCCATTACTTGTGCACGCGCTTTGAGCAGGTTGGACACGAAAGCTGCTTAGTTTTTTCGGTGTGATCTAGGGTCCTATCGAACGCTTCGAAGAGGAAGCGATGCCCAAAATATCGCTGCCGCCAGCATTGCTTAACAGAGTTTAGAGAAGGGTCTACTGACCCTTTCGAGGGAAGCATACGGGCACACACATGGCTGTAGTACGCCCTAAGAAATCTGGAGTCCCTCATCTCCTTAATCTATCTGGGAGAGCAATTAATAAAATCCACAAAGAGAGCGGGTCGAACGGCGAGGCTGATAAACTGTTTGAACCTAAAGAACAGTCTGGGTTGCGACGCTGGGTATGAAGTTCTATACATGATGAGCGTAACGTAGCAAACGGCTCCTTCAGATCTGAAGAGATTTCCAGGCGCGTCATACGACGAGCTTCGACGGTATATGGCGGTGACTACCTCGACCAAGTGCTATGTAGTAAGGTCGACGCCATATATTTCCTAGATCGCCATCTGTGATGTTAGGTACGTCAGTGGGGACCGCATGTTATCTAAGCGTTTCCATTGCAGCACGGCGTAATTTTGTTCCGCATGTGTTTGGAAACGACAAAACGACGTAAACGTAATAGGTGGGTGTTTTTCTTTCAAGCCGATCAAACAATCCTTTTATTTGCATTACCCACTACAAGAGAATATGAAAAACTACTATTGATTCGCACAAAAGACGACATTTAACCGACTATAATGTGCGAAGTATACAGCAAAATATTTCCTGGAAAAAGGGTTTTCGGGAACACGTAAATTTTTCTGACATCCAAATTACTGAATAACACATAAATGTAGAAAGGTTACGTCTTAATGATAGTTCATTTTTATCGGGGTCAGCTTTGGAGTTATATGACACTTCATTATATACTGCTATCACCACTGAAACTTTGATTCGGGCCTTGTGGTTTGCAAATATAGAGTTTTTTTTTGCGGATTTTTATCATAACTTGGAGATAATTACGTGGGCTGTTTTTCTTTCCTAGCGTCGCATCATGGTTACCTTTTATTTCTTTGACAATTGAGAAAGTGCGTACATCTGGCAAGCAGCGAACGTAAGCAGGAATTAAAGAACGAAAAATCCGTCTTCTTCATCTCATTCCACCCTTGCAGGACACACGACAGCCTATACAAAAAAAAAAAAGAATAGTTCAATCAATCATAGGTCCCGTCCTTTTCCTCTTCCGCCACGATTTACCTCATTTTCATTTTGAAATAGAGAAGCCTGTAAAGGTCGTGGAGACATCTCCGGGCTGTATAAGTAGCCCTGGGCTCCCCCAGACATTTTACCACCATTAGGTATTCGGTCCAAAATGCTTGAATATTTCGGTTTCATATTTGCAATATTCCTGGCTGTCTGTTATGCAGGTGAGTGCCTAACCGTCGAGAACCGCTATACTTGGTCACACTTATTTTTTTATCATAAAATTGCGGTAACAATTGTTATTTAGAGGGAGTCTTCCTTTAAACGTAATATATAGGCATGAGACTAATCATATCATATCCTTTTACCTCCTATAACTTTAATTATTTATAGCTGTTATTCTGAATATCAAAATTAATATGGTTTTATTGTTCTGCCCTTACATTTCGTCTCTTTTCGCTATTGTGGGATTCTAAGTACAGTTTGCTTTCTCTGGGCAATCAGAACAAACTTAGCATAATTTTTTCCCACTTCTACGCCTAATTATATTCGAAAGTGTTGTGAGGGAAAAAGTAATACGAAATAAATGTACGGTTTAAAACCGTTGCATTCTTCCGGTTCTTCGGAAGGAAGACATAAACCAGATCATGCTGCAGACAGTATATCGCCTCTCCGGAAACTCTTGGACGCGTTTCTGGAAGTTTCAGGCCGATGGACAGTGGAGACTGTTTTCGACATCATTGTTTCACGATTTCTGTGTGCAAACACAAGCTTTTCAGCTGAGCCCACATGTAACAAATTGTAAAGAATTTTGTACATTTTCCAATTTGTTTTACATACTCCTAATGTTGTGCGCTGTCACAATAATTTTAAGAGTAGTGACAAAAATCTCAGTTGTCTCTCGTGTTCTTATTTTTAACCGTTTGATAATGCACACTCGCAGAACCACCTGTGGAGGAGGTTGTCTACCCGAGAATCCTAGAAGCCAGAGGTCTCAATGGCGAGAAGATGCTCCACATACGAGATGGTCTTACCTTGAGCCTAGAGAAGAGCACAGTGTTCTCCGAAAACTTTGTTTTTACGGAACACGATGGACAGAAACAGTATGACACAAGTGTAAGTAGTTTCCTAAAATATATTAAAATTGGTGTGAAGTCAGTGAGAAACTGACGCCTTTCACTAACCTCTTTCATACTTGAAGGCGTGCCTGGTATTCACGAAATATTTGGCGCATTTGCTACGTTATGATTATTTGAAGCTGTTCGTATAGGTATACCGCGAGAATATCACAGCTCAAACAGTGAGCGATGAGCGCAGTATTGACTGTTGAGTAGTAGGCGAGTCACTATATGCCACTAGGCCAGCTTGTTGACATCCAGCTTTTTCACATGCAGCAAGGGCAAGCCAAACTTCTACTCTGCTGAAGGAAATGCTAGAAGCCAAGTCCTTTTTTTCTTTATACTGATCGTACTGAGCGTCCTAGGAACCACTCTCGCGCTACATGGACAGCACTTGCGCTCCTCAAAATGACGACACCTCTGTACTTATTAAAACACATACAGTCTCTCGAATCAAACACATACAATATATAGACTCATTCAAACTCACGTGTTCACTAGACTCCTACAAACTTCTAATTGTTTAATATCTTTACGAGCCACACTTTTTGGTTAATTCTGTTCCCGGATTTTTCTAGCTCATACGCTCCCACTCCAATTTCAGTACTGTATTTAAGATTATACCATAGCGCGAAATGTGTTGAATATCAGCGTTTGTCACTCCCATAAATTTCTGGGAGCTCAATCTCCATCATGGTTAGAGGTCGCAGCCATTTCTCAAGCCTCAAGCAGAACAGCAACAAGGGCCCGCGAACAATAATCTTACATTTTTACGTTTTTCAAAGATGTCACTGTTGATGCAATACTCGTACTACCAGAGCTGACGGAATCAGGAATGGTTTAAAATGTTGACCGAAAAATTTTTATGATAGCGGCATGCAAGCCACAGCTCTTAGTTGTTATTAAACGTTTTATATTTAAAGCAAGGCGTAAAATTTTCCACTGATAATCGGGTGGTTCCTTGCTTATACAAACGAAAGCAATATTCAAAATGTGATTACTGTGTTTTTACCAGATGAACGGCAAGGATCTGGAAAAAAATTTGTACCACAACATAAAGCATGGTTCATCTCTCCTTATTGAGGAATCGAATGGAAGAGTCCAAGTGGTATGATTTACTTTGCATGCTAAGCTCCCACTCATGAAGTATCAAACAATTCTCAGTTCTGAGATTGTTTAATTCGCATTAACTTTGCAGAGAGGACTCCTTAGTGACCTGTTATCAATCGAACCGGTGTTGGCTGGTCAACAAGCAGACATTGGAGGCGTTGCCCACAAAATATCCAAATTGGACAAGAACCCCATTCTCTTGAATGATTCCGGTGAGACCCATAATCAATCGAATTGAGACGTCGGTGCCGCTCTACATTGTGAACTCCTTTTGAGAGCATATATTTGCTACAAATCACGCATTGAAGTTGTTTCTATAATTATCGGCAGCTTAAGGAATGTCGGGGTAAAGAGTTTCAAACATTTCTCATAAGTGCTCAGATAATGAAATTCGGGTGTCAACCAATAAGCAGCGTGAGCGAACATAAAACTCCCAATCCTTGTGTTTCTAAGACTGTCATTTGTAATAGTATTCACCTTGGCTGTTGATTACATCGATTAATGACGCCCTGAATTCCTAATTTATGAATATAGTCGGGTTGACAACTAAATGTAATATATTCTGCTTGAAAAAGAAATGCTTCGGGTTAAACAGTTTTATTTATTAGAAAAATTAAATCGAGTAAGGTACAGCAAGAGAGTAATCTATGATCGACAGATATATTATACGCAAACAATTACACTGCGTAAGAGAGTGGTTATTGCCATTTGTTGCAAGTAATGGAGTGCCCCCCCCCCCCCTTTTTTTTTAAAGAAGGCCAGAAGAGTTGTGATTAAGACCCATGCGTGATTCGAACATACCGAGCCGAAGAGTTTTAGGAGAACGTGACTAAAGACGCCGCTATTGTGCCCACATACAAATATTTTTTTTTTTTTTGTGTGTGTTTACAGTTCGAGGTCTCAAAGTACCGGAGCTAGAAGCTGAGCACAATTACCAGCAAAGTAAGTGTAATGAAAGAGGGCCTAAAACCGCCTTCAGATGACCGCTGACCACTGGTGTAGTTCAAGATCATTAGATGAAAAGCCATCGAGGAGACACCTACTTTGTCAATATGAAAATATTATTTTCGTAGATAATCTAGACGGTTTAGAATAATAATAACCACACATAAGAAATGTCTATTATTGTTATGTCAAAGTATTTTGACCATCAATCCTGCCCCAAAAATGAGAAAGGTGAATGAAAAGAGGGTTCTCTGAATTTTAAAAACATTTGCGTTGTTTTTTTCATGTACTAAAGCTCTTAAAACTCATCATATAAAATTAGGCATCATCCTACAATAAATGGATAGAGCGTACATAAAAAGAAAATGCAAATCTTCGGGAAGCTGCTCAGCAACAGAGGATCTGAGTATTATAATGTTAATCTATGTAGAATAAAGAAATGAAGAACGCCCGCAAAGAAATATTGCAGATGTTTCCGTCACGTGCCACAAGATAAATTGAACTTTAACCATCCTTCATCGTTAACGCTACACTATTGTTTTTTCGACAAAAAAATGTGACGTCACTACATGTTAGCCAATTTTGAGTATAATTTTGTCAACTTCATAGCTCCTTGGGCAGGCATGCGATTTCCTATGATAATTTTGAATCTGCCATTGCAGAATAAGGCTCTGCGTCCTGTAGACGAAGGGCCCTTAACTCTTTGAGAGCATTTCTTCAATAGCTCAAAATGGTCACACCTGTCTCGACTTAACTAAAACGCTCCACCTCAGGTCATTCTTTTTTACAGGTTATATTCCAAATACAAACTTTTATACCCAGTCAATATTTTAGATAAATATTCAAAAGAAAAAAACTGGGAAACGAAAACATCTCAGTGACAATTTCATTGAAATTCATTTCAATAATTTACTTAAGCCCTGTCACTATACAACTATGTACCGTGCTCCGCTCCTATTCATTTTGTTTCAGTGGGCAGCAGTCTGGAAAGTCTGCCAGAAGAATTTAAGGTTGAAGTGTTGATAATATCCGACCACGCCCATAACCAGGATAAAACAGAAAAGGAACTTATCGACCACTTCTCCATTGTAATTAGTAAGGTGAGCACGAATCATGCATAAAAAAAATTCTACTGTATAAACTTACTCCATCACGCTTGATTCTAGATAGTATGACTGGGTTCGTTTAATGTTTAGTAAATATCCGAATACTATATCAACTTTTAAGCAAGAATTAAAAGAACGGTCTTTAATTAACAAGTTGAACAAGTTTAAATATACAAATAGGCGTGTTGTATAATATTTGCTGTTGTTGAGAAAAGATTCCTTTCTATGCTCCTTTCCAAAGGTCGGCAAATATAAATATGTAATCGCAAGTAATAAGGTTGTGCTTCTCGAAAAAATACGCGGACAATGAGGTATACACGCCGTTTCGGGCGAACGCCCTTTTTCAAGTAATAGACGGGAAAGACGGCAAGAAACAGGCAGGGGTCGGACACGTATAAAAAATAGGGGTAGGTACCTTGGCCGAGAGGGAGGGGAAGGCGAAACCGTTAGAAGACGGAGTACAACTTCTTCGCCTGTCATCTAATGCAGTTAAAAAAGATGCAAAGCAAAAGCCGGGGCGCGTAAGTGCCACGGGATATCGAACTCGCCTTGCGGCGTGTTCCGGGAGAACAAGACACCCAGAATAGTCCTCGGGGGTACTAGGCCGCCACAACCACGACCACAGCGGTGACGACGGGCAGACGCACGGTTCAGTATGGTTCGAAAAAGCCCCCCCCCCAGTTGTCGTGTGACGCGTGTTAACTTCGGTGCCGTTTGTCTCGAGAAGATTAAGAAAATATAGAGTTTTGTAAACAGCAGTACGGACGATTCATTGCTATTCGTTTTGAGTGTTTATTTATTGGCCTCCGAGTGCCCGAAACCACCGAGTGCCGAAATCGCCCGCGCAGGAAGGCCGTTCGCAAACCGACGCGAGCAGAAAAACTAAACGTCCGGACCGCCCCCCCCCCCCCCCCCCCCGCCCCCCCTCCCGCCCCCGCCCCGAGAAAAAGAAGAAACGGGCGTTTTGACCCATTCGGTAAACTCTCCCAACCGACCACCCCCTCCTCCTTCGCCCTTTCCTCCTCCTCCCCTCCCCTCTTCTGTCCCCCTCTCTCCAGGCCGCACGGCAACAGCCTCCTGATGAAGAACGCTTTGGGACTGGAAGTACGTGTTCCCACTATATACAACATGATACAGGTTAAAGAAGCCGGAATGGCGAACTGACGTAATTAAAATTCTACTCGTGAGAGGAAAGGTAAACCAGAGGAAACGGCAAGGCTCCTAAAGAAAGCAGAAAAACGAGGGCAGTGTTTGATGGATGGAGGGCCCGTACCGTGAGGACAGGGTGTAGCGAGCCAGGATGCGACCGACACGTTTCAGAACACAACAGAGGAATGAATTTAATCAAGCGACAACAAGTAAGTACAGCGAGAGGGGGCGCCACAGGAATGCGGCAGACTATTTACAAAGTCAATAGGTGGCGACCTCTACATCTCCCCCCTTTATGAAAGATGAAAGATGGAGGAAGCCCACTACATAAAATTTCACAAATTTAAACGGGTCGGCCGAACAACACGTCGGCCACTACGAGTTCGCACAACACCGTCGCTGTCGGTTGGGACCGGGACCGGCTCAGTGGCAGGAGGCGGCCCTGTTGGGCTTGCAGGTCGTGGTTGTTCAGGAACCAAGACGTGTTGCGCTGATTCAGGCTGATCTTGTAGTTGTGCCTCTCCACCGAAAGGCACGAGATGGTGGCGGTTTCGCTGAAGAACACCACCCCGTTCTGTTTCCACAATATAACTTCGTGGTCGTTGAGCAGGACTCAACACTGTAGCGCGCACTTGATCAGGTCTCACCCAGACTTGCTCTCCGGTTTGAAGTGACGGCAGGTCCCTGGCCGCGTGACGCCGGTTGTAGTCTGCAGCCTGTTGTCTTTTGTAGACTAAATCATTGCTGGCAACCTTGTCTTTCACTGGCCAGTCTGGACGAAGCTGCTCGTCGCGCTTAGGAACTCGGGTCTTCAGCTGCCTCCCCATCAAAAGCTCGGCTGGGCTGAAACAGTTCACTCCCGGGGTGTCTCGGTAGCTGAGGAGGGCGAGATGGGGGTCATCTGCCTTCCGAAAGCGGTCTTTTACCGTCCGGATCATTCTCTCAGCTTCTCCATTAGACTGGGCGAAGTGAGGGCTGCTGGTCATGTGGTCAAACCCGTAAGATTTAGCGAAAGATGTGAACTCTCTCGAAGAAAATGGTGGACCGTTGTCAGACCTTACGCGCTGAGGAATTCCACGGCGAGCGAAGATGCTCTTGATCACGTCGATGACAACCTGAGCTGTCGTGCTTCTTAGCGTTACAACCTCTGGGAATCGGGAGTAGTAGTCCACCACCAGGATGAAGGTTTGTCCGTTGAGGTGGAATAGGTCCATGCCGAGCATTTGCCACGGACGACCGGGGAGAGGGGTGGAGACCAGCGGCTCCGACAAGTTCACACGAGTGGAGGCGCACTGCTCACAATTGGTAACCATGGAAGTGATCTCCGCAGTTATGCCTGGCCACCATACCGATTCTCGAGCCCGGGCTTTGCTACGGTTAATTCCCTGATGTCCCTCGTGCAGCAGCGTCAGCACTGGCAGCCTCAGTGAAGAGCGGTCCCCACCGACAGCGAGGGTGTTGTGCGAACGCTGCGTCTTGTTCATGCTGCCAAGTCCAGCTCGTAGTTTTGTTCAAGAGGACTCGAATTGGGGCAGTGACGTCAGAGATGTGAGGCAGGAATCTTGCTAGATGGTGTACCATCCCAAGGAGGCGTTTGACGCCAGCGATGTCACTCGGTGGATCCATGGTCCGGATGGCTTCCACTTTGCTGGGATCCGGCCTGATGCCTTCTGCCGAAACAATAACTCCCAGGAAGGAGACCTCGGAGACTCCAAACCGGCACTTGTCTTTGTTCAACGTGATGCCAGCTCCTGCTAGCCGCGACAACACCTGCTTGAGCCGAGCGTCGTGTTCCTCCTGGTTACGTCCAAAAACGAGAATATCGTCGATCATATTGGCGACGCCTTCTTGACTTCAAGGATTCTGGCCATTTGTTTTTGAAAGTACTCCGGCGCCGAGGTGATGCCGAAGGGGAGTCTACAGAAACAATAACGGCCGAAAGGAGTGATGAAGGTCGTGAATTCCTGCGAGCCGGCTGCCAGCCTGACCTGATGGAAGCTTGCTGTGGCGTCCAACTTCGAGAAGATGGCCGCGTCGC